TTTTGTAGATATATGACAGAAATAAAGTCAAACTGTAATGCTGTTTGTGGAGTTGTTTGATCATGTTCTGCTGTCTTATTTCAGTTGATTTCATCTAAGGCTGTGGCTGAAGTCAGTTGTAATTTCATTTCTTGCTCTTTTCTTCAGTGATTCTGCTTGTTAACAGCAGCTGTTCATCATTGTCTGAATTCACTCATTAGTGTTCATTCTCTCTGTCAGGTGGACTGTATTAATAAACTCATGCAGGGAATAGTGAATGAGGGTGTAGTAGGGTGTGATTTGAAACACAGTCTCTGAGTGTCAAATCTGAGCGCTGTTACTTCACAGTACTGCAGAAGCCTACTTTCTCAAAAACAACAATTACCCAGAATACATTTTTTTTTACACGATTGTACTGTTGTAATGAAAAAACAGGATGTTACTGTCAGAATATGGCCGTTTTTTTACAGCAATTTTTTACAGTGCAGAGGACCTAATACTGAGCCCTGTGGCACACCATACTTGTGTTAGATGTGGCGTCTCTTCATTTACACAAGCAAAGTGGTAGCGGTTAGATAGACAGGACCTAAACCATGCTAATGCTTGTCCACAAATGCCAACATAATTGTCAAGCTATACAAGAGAATGTAATGGTGACAAAAGATCTAATAGCTTTAGAAGAGAGCTGTTACATTAATTAGCACAATCTCTGTGCTACAGTGGGGATTAAATACTGAATGAATTTTTTCAGAAATACTATTATTCTGCAAAACTGAGTACAGTTGAAAGGATAGTATTTTCCTAATATTTTAGTCATCAATGGTAGATTTAAGATCAGTCTATAAATAAAGATGTGGGTATGGATCTTAGTAGTATACAGTGTTGTATCATAGATGTTTTTAGTTTTGATGATGTGTGTTGGTTTTGATTCTTTAAATGTCTGAAATGTTTGCATGTCTGTTGCTTTGTGCCATTAAACTGGTGTTAATTTTTATTTGTCTTTTTGCCTTAGATCTGATGCCGCTGAAAGAGGAGCATGAAGTACTAAATGAAAGGGAAGAGAACGATCAGTTTAAGAGTCATAGTTTCATAACTGGAGAAAAATCTTTCGGGAGCTCACAGACTGAAAAGATACGAAAAAAAGCTCAGAAGACTAGAGGTCATTTCACCTGCTCTCAGTGTGGAAAGAGTTTCAGTCAACCTGATCACCTTAGAGCCCACATGGAAATTCACACTGGAGAGAAGCCTTACACCTGCCAACAGTGTGGAAAGAGTTTCGCTCAAAATAGAAACCTTAGGATCCACATGGGAATTCACACTGGAGAGAAGCGTTTCGCCTGCCAACAGTGTGGAAAGAGTTTTGTTCAGAATAGAAACCTTAAACAGCACATGACTGTTCACAGTGGGGAGAAGCCTTTCACATGCCAGCAGTGTGAAAAGAGCTTTAAAACAGAACGGAACCTCATATATCACACTCGCACTCACACTGGAGAGAGGCCGTATAAATGTGATCAGTGTGGAAAGAGTTTCAAACATAAAATAAGCCTTAATAACCACTTGAAGGTTCACTCGGGAGAGAGCCATTTTGCATGTCAACAGTGTGGAAAAAGTTTCACTGAGAAAGGAAACCTCAAAACCCACACGAGACATCACACTGGAGAGAAGCCTTTCACTTGCACTCAGTGCGGAGATAGTTTCACATATAAAAGAGCTCTCGACTCCCACATGATAAGTCACACTGGCAAGAGCCCTTTCACCTGCAAACAGTGCGGGAAGGTCTTCACAAACAAAATCAGCCTTAAGTATCACATGCACAAGCACACCGGAGAGAAGTCGCTCACCTGCGATCAGTGTGGAAAGAGTTTCAGACGTAAAGAAACCCTTAACAGACACACGAGGATTCACACGAAAGAGAACTGTTTTATATGTCACGAGTGCGGAATGACTTTCCATAAAATGATTCGCTTCAAGATGCATAGGAAAACTCACTTCCGAGTGGAACCTCTCAAATGCCACCTGTGCGGAAGGATTTTCCGATTCATTAAAACCTTTCAGAATCACAAGAGGCTTCACATCGGAGAGAAGCCTTTCCAGTGCCATCAGTGTGAACGGAGCTTTGCGTATCGGCGATGCCTGAAACGCCATTTGCAAACACATTGTGGAAAGAAACTGCAGTGCTCTGAGTGTGACAAGAGCTTCAGAAAAAGGAGCAATTTCAACAATCATCTGCGCTTTCACTCTGGACAAAGGCCATACACATGTGATCAGTGTAATAAAAGCTTTATTTTGCCTTCACACGTACAGATACATATGAAAACTCATGCTTATGTGAAGCCGTATTTGTGCTCAGTGTGTGGAAAGAGTTTCAAATGGCCTAGCAATCTGAAATGGCACAAGAAAATACGGATTTGTGTGAAATTAAGGCTTCGTTCACTCCGTAGCTGAATGTGGCCCAGATTTGATTTTCTGCTCAAATGTAGAATGTTTTCTTGATGAGGCTGTTGACATGAACTTTAAATGTGGCCAGATGACCAGTGATTCAGCCATGTTCATTGGTTCTATTTGCATCCTTCATGCATTCATTATATTTTATTTTTAGACTTTTCTTTATGTACGTATGAACACTTGTGGCCATGCTCGACCATCTCCTTTTTGCTTTAGTTTTAATCATCAAGTAACTCTAATTTGTATTGTGGCATCACTCCATTCCATATATTGATATATCTGAATCAAAATTTCTTGATGTGAAATGGCACAATGTAAATGAACGATTCTAAATAAAAGGACATAAACTGAATGCAATTATGAACACTGCACTGCATTATTTAATTTGTTTATTGAGAGAATGACCTGTAACCTTTTTTTTTATTCTGAGATTGAATATGGCTACTGGTGACATGTAGAGTGTCAGTTAGGGTTAGGCAAGCAGAGAGCTGTATACACTGTAAAAAAAAATAATTATGTTAATAAATTTCAGTCTATTGAGTGTATTTAGCAATGATAATCTTTTTTAACAATCCTCTTTCTTTTAGAATTATGTTTGTTTCCAAAGCCTTCTACATAATATGGGTAGTATTTGCCTCTTCAAACTAAAAGTAAACATGTATGCTGATGTAGCATAAATGGGAACAAATGTATTAAACTAGTAGCAATGAGATGCACATATACCTCAGCACACGATGCTCAACCATGGTGAGGATCAACAAATGTTAAATCAGTAAAAATATGAACTCTGTCAGTTAGCTGTCATGTGGATCAGTGACAACAGCAGCAGCAGCTTAAATTAAGCCAGTACAATTTAAAACGATAATATATTAATAATAATTAACATAAAATGTTTTCAAGCTGCAATGAATGCTGGGAACTTGTGCAATATTGTTCAATGTAAAATAGTTTGTTCCGATGACTCGATTTGAAAAGTTGGGAAAACATTTGGATATGTTGTGAACAAAACTTGAGTATCTAAGTAAGGTAAAGAAAACAACTTTTGCTAGTGACATGTTTAGAGTATTTTTGTTCAGTTCACACAAAAACTTAAACTGACTTCTACTAAAAATTATTTGTTCATTGGTTTTTTTCATTGGTTAGTGGAACTTTTCGAAAGTTGGATTTTTGACAGTGTATCTATGGTGGCCAAGCAGTGCAAAACAAATCACAATTCTGAAAACAAAATAACAGTTCAGATAACACAATGACAAATCCTAAAACAAAATAACTCTCCGAAAACACAACGACAACTCAGACAAAACGGAAGAGGTAGGTATAGTTTGAGAATTGATTACTTACCGCTGACTGGACGAGACGTCTGTCAATCAAGGTATACAGGAAGTACAGCAGGCTAGTGGTAGAAAGTTTTTTTGCTCTCATTGCTCTCTGTATTGTTGTAAAATGCATTCATGAAAAACAAGTAGCCTAACTATATTTATATATAAATATATACTATAAAATGAAAAGACATTTCTTTTAAATGAATAGCACAGTAATGAAGGCAGCATGTCTGCAGAAACCCTGGCCAATGTCCACTGAATGTCCAATGAAGTGCAGTAAACAAGATAGGGACCGTCTAAAACGTTCTAATTTTTTTCATTGTGTGCACACAGACAACTACATTTTAGTCAACTATAGATGTACCGGCAAATATCAGTCACATTATGTCTTCTAATGCTCCTTTAGCAACAATAAAAATTACAATATAATGATGATGTTTGAAAAGATGTTTAGGAAATGACAAATAATGAACATGTACATGAACTGTAATTTGGTAACAATACAGACAACTGGAAAATCATGTATAATCTCCTGAACATAGTTAATCGCATCATTTTACAACTGTTGTTATTTATTTATTTGCCTCAAAATGAACAAGAATTGTGTTGATGTGTTGCTTTTAACAATGACATATGATTTATTTCAATAGGTTTTGAAAGCATGGGACAGCTGCTCCAAAGCAAGTTGGAACATCTTGTCTGGAGCCTACAGAACATACTGCAGCCCATGTCTTGCTGTTTTATTCACCTCTGTTTCTCTGGTTTAAAGTGTGATAAAGACTTAACAGTGTAACAGTGTTCTCCAGCTGTTGAATGAAAAGAATGGCTAAACTATATTTTATGTTTTCCTGTTGAATGACATCTTTGTTTAACATTAAACTCTCACAGTATCACAATTCATGTGCATTGATTGATGTTCACAGTCCTGCGGAAATATCACTGTCCATGGTTCTGAATCCATCAGATTAATGACAAGTACTCAGAAAGCATGACAGCAAACAGAATGTTTATTTTGGGTGAACACTTCCGAAAGTAGTGGCAAAACTTTCTTCAAGATGGTTTATAAATAAATTGTGCTTCACATATATATTCAATTTGTACCATCACTGTGTTTTATGGCTTTCTTCAATGACACATCATCCAGTTCAATAGATTTTGAAAAGAGGACCACACGACACCGCTCCAAAACAAGTTGTAAAATATTTATCTGACCTAAAATTACATACTACAAATCTTTAGTGTGCAATTATTTGCTCTATATGTTTAATTTCTACCATTATTGTATTCAATGGGGTTCTTCATTGAGACGCCTTCCAGTTCAATAACTTTGGAAAAGAGGGTCACACAACACCGCTCCAAAACAAGTTGCAAAATATTCATTTGACCCTAAAGAACACACTTCAAGCCTTTAATGTAGAAGTATTTACTCTAGATGTTGAATATTTACCATCACTGTATTCTATGTGTTTCTTCATTGAGACACCTTCCATTAAAAAAAAATATTACAGTATCTGAATTAATTATTACTGTAATGCCTGAAAATAGTAACTTCTTTACTTTATAGATTTATTTATAGATGAATGGTTTGCTTTAAAAGAACTTTGAAACCATTATGAGCAAAGTACAGTTTAATCTTATACCTTCAATGTGTCTGTAATGGTTATTGAATAACATTTAAGTTACAAAGCACATCCTATAAAACACACTAATCCTCATCATTTTGGTATGGTCAAACATAAAGAGTTCACTTGACATTGCAATACTACAGCATGTCGGGCGCAATTATTTTAAATGGTGGAACAGTTTGTTTAAACATGTAGAGTAAATACTTCTACATTAAAGACTTGTAGTATGTTCTTTAGGGTCAAATTAATATTTTGCAACTTGTTTTGGAACAGTGTGACCCTCTTTTCAAAAGTTATTGAACTGGAAGGAGTCTCAATGAAATAACCCATTGAATACAATAATGGTAGAAATTTATCATAAAGAGCAAGTAATTGTACATTAAAGACTTGAAGTATGTTCTATAAGGTCAGATAAATATTTTGCAACTTGTTTTGGAGCGGTGTGACCCTCTTTTTAAAAGCTATTGAACTGGAAGGTGTCTCGATGAAGAAACCCATAGAATACAGTTATGGTAGAAATTAAAAATGGTCTGTAATGTCTTTCTCTAACCTTACAGAATATACTACTGCTAAGCATTAAACCTCAAACGAACATGGAAATTTTAATTTTTAGGAAAACTTTGCTATGTTTGTATGAGATGGCACTGTCCACATATGTGGTGCTGGAGGTCCTACAGGATCCTACCTGCAACTTAAAGGGGTCATATGATGCTGCTAAAAAAAACATTATGTTGTGTATTTGGTGTAATGAAATGTGTTTTCATGTGTATGCGGTTTAAGGTTAAAAAAACACATTATTTTCCACATACTGTACATTATTGTTTCTCCTCTATGCCCCGCCTTTCTGAAACGCGTCGATTTTTACAAAGCTCATCGGTCTGAAAAAGCGAGGTGTGCTTTGATTGGCCAGCTATCCAGTGCGTTGTGATTGGCCGAATACCTCAAGCGTGAGACGGAAATGATACGCCCCTCACCATACTGTGATGATGCCCTGTCAGGCCGGAGCGATGATTCAAAAACATGAAAACCCATTATAAACGAGGCATTCGTTGCATCCAGCGGGGACATAATTATGGATTATAATGACTCATACTGTCTTTTTACGCGTTGCGTTGCATCGCGCCGGCGGCTACTCTCCCAAGAAACAGTCCTCCGTAAAATGTGCTGCACACATCTGAATATTTGGGTTGAAGTGTTCTGGAACAGTGTTGTAAATACAACTTAACCACTGATTTCTAGTCGTGTCCTCTTTTGGAAG